CGCTGTGATTGGCCAGTGTTTTTCGTTAATAATTCAAAAATGAAGCTTCAAACAACATTTTGGTAAAGGAAAAAGTTGTTCAGAGTCACCCCAGCAACCCCCCATTTCCGGGTGTTCGAGGAGTTACGGGACACCCTGTATGCATAAGTAAGTACATGTATACGTTTCAACAAACGAGTAATATGAATTCAGTAAAACCGATTACTTCTACTGAGTATAATTTACTATTAGTATTAAATATCTTCAATGTTTTTTATTACAACTTAGAAACGTAATCACGAAAATATTTAACTTTACATACGTACGTATTAAACATTTAATGTACGAGGTACATATATATGTATATGTATAATGTATGGCAATCTTGATGATAGATCTTAAACTTTAACTAAGGGTTTACAATCTTTTGTAATAACAAAAATAAATTACCACCAAAAACAAAATCTCAATGGTACTGCAACGAAGTCTTTGTATCAGTTACGGGTGAGGGACGAATTATGTCTGAAGGCCTCACCATAACGTTGTATTATTTCGAATACGCAGTATAATAGAATGAATCATTTCGCTTCAGGGAATTACTATGAAGGCTAGACATCCAGTACGATATACTCCACGTTTACGATAATAGCACTACCCTCTATCTTCAATGCGAACCAACTTATTACTAGCAGATTAGTAGTTATGAAATCTTCCGCCATTTAAAAAGCAATACAAGTATACCAACTGCGTATAAATAAAAGACCTAAGAAAGATCAAAGCGGTTTCTTTCTACATAGTTGGTTATCTTGGAGAAAATAATAAACGTTATCTGGATAGATTCTTGTCTTTTCTGATAGATTATAACTAAGAAAACGTGGTAGTATTTATCAAAATGCAGGTTCCACCAATTTTTATGGAATTACCCTTAGAGGACCAGGTATACAATAATCAAATTATATTAAACACCTTAACAAAACCGCATGTACAATGCAGTAGTGCAATGTAAATGTATGTAATGTTACGTCGGTCTGTAAAGTATAGGTTATATTCTTTATCACTTTTCTATCATTAATATTTTGTTGTATATATCCATACCAAAATTGACTAGAACAAATTTTGATGAAATTAGTGTATTTAAAATCAATGCATTAATTTGCTAATTTATTTTTAGGCACAAGAATTGAGAATTTATTTTAAAAGCTTAGGGGCTGAAATAAGTGAAGAAAAATCTCCTAAAGGTATAGAGGATGATTTACATAAAATTATTGGAGTATGTGAAGCTTGTTTCAAGGAAGGAAATGAAAATGAAATAGAGACAGTTTTAAATGACATTGTATCTATTATGATAGTGGTAAATATTGAATAGTTTAAATTATAAAGTTAAGATATATTAAAATAGTTGAAAGTTTTTAAGTTAATTTATATACATTTTATTTTAGATTCCTACTGAAAGAGCAGAAAATTTAATATTAGCATTTTGTGAAAAATTAACAAAAGCTCCTGGTTATAAGCTGGGTCTAGTATGTCTAAAAGCGTAAGTAATATAAATGTTATGGATATTATTCACTTTCCTATGCAAAAGGTTAATTCAATACATTTTTAGATTGTGGTTATTATTCCAATCTCTTCCTGATGATTCTCCTATGAGATATCATGTCTATTATCATTTAGTTCAAATTGCTCGCAATGTGGACCAAGTAAAAGCAGTGTATGGTGGAATAGATCAATTGAAACAGCAATTTGCATCACTTCCACCATCAAATGAACAGATGCAAAAACTACTTCGGTTACTTCATGAAGTACTTCTAAGCTGCAAACAAGGGTAAATAAAATTTTATTCCAAATACATGTTATCACACAATATTTTTAATGAAATGCTGTTATTACAATAGGGAACAAGCTGCAGCAGTTATGGTAGAACTTTTAGGTACTTATACATCAGAAAATGCTTCTTCAGCTAGAGAAGATGCACAACGTTGTATTTTAGCTGCATTGGCAGATCCAAATACATTCCTACTGGATCCACTATTAGCACTAAAACCTGTGAGATTCTTAGAAGGAGAACTCATTCATGATTTACTCCTTGTATTTGTACAAGACAAATTACCTGCATACTTGTACTTTTATCAACATCATAAAGAATTTGTGGAACATCAACTGGGTATGTAAGCATCTAATTAAACATTTAAAATGTTTTATATATACATTGATATGTTTTTTCTGTCTTGTTAGGATTAAATCATGAACAGAACATGAAAAAGATGAGATTACTAACATTCATGCAACTAGCAGAAACGAATCCTGAAATGTCATTTCATACAATTCAAGAAGAACTACAAATTAATGAAGATGAAGTAGAAAGTTTCATTATTGATGGTAAGTCATTGAAATTGGTTTGTTTTTAAATCTTAACACAATACAATTATAATATCTATTGAATCAGCAAAATAGTATTTTCTTTACTAAAACACATTTATTCTCCCTGCATAAATTCAATTAGTCTCTAAATTTAATTATAATGGTGGGAACAATATATACAGGGTATATTAATGAATCAGTACTGGCTTGGTAGAATTCAATTTTTACTAAGTTATCGAAGTATTCGACACTTATATAATAAATCAATTTCTTTTTATTGTATTTTCTTGGAACTTATAAAAGTAAAATCTTTAATATTTCAGTACTGAAAACAAAACTCGTTAGAGCTCGTATGGATCAAGCTGGGCGTAAAGTTCTTATTTCAAGTACCATGCATAGGACATTTGGTAAACCACAATGGATGCAACTACGTGATTTACTTGCAGCTTGGAAAGGAAATTTAACTTCTGTACAAGAGGGTATGAAATCTGTAGCTGATGCGCAAATGGAACTTGCTTTAAAAAATAAAGCTGCCATAAACTATTGATGATATTTAAGTTCCCTATGTGAAATGCAAAATTTACATATACGAATATTGATTGGAAACCGAAATTACATTACAATTTTATCTGAATAAATATGTGTCGTATACTACAGTATTATGTTTACAATTAAATTAATCACATAATTAAGAAACTGATCATGCAAAATTATTTATAAATCTATCATTTGACAGTCTATTTGAGATTGTTGAAAAATTTTTTACATATATCATTTTTATGTATATTTCTGTATATAAAATATAAAACAATGAAAATAACCAAAAATCATAATGTAAATAATCCTTAAGTACAAATATAGGTAATAACTTAATACATTTTTTTTCATACAGCAACATTTTATTTTCATTAATCAATTTTTGTATGTGATATAGAGCATTTCTGACATTTTTGGAGCATTTCTTACATTTTATAATTTGATCAATAGAACATTCATATACAACTTTATAACCGTGCATTACATTATTAGAAAAGCCACATATTCTTTTGTACTAATTCACCTCATTGTTTCTAATCCGTAATTTGTTGCTTATCACATGATACTGGTAATTGGTACAAAAATTACAAACCTTAAAAAATTAATGATATAAATCTATAAAAAATAACACAATAAGTGGCTTGAAGCAAATTGAAAATATAAAAGTAAAATAAAAATCTATTGAAATATTTATCATTACTTGACATGTTATACAAAAACGTATGTAAACAATTTTTTTTAATACATTTTTTATCAGTATGTTTTACATACATTTTTGCATATTGACATAGATACATGTATACTATTCTAAGATCGTCTTCATATATCTATTTGCAAAAACTACATATAAACGGTAATATTTCCTGCAATATAACATTTCTTTTTTACGATATACATTTCTTTCGTCGTAATCGAATTGGAGATTGTCAACTAATCAAAAAATAGGTACATACTAATAAATATATTATCGCATAATGAACATGAAAAAACATTTTGACAAATATCCTTGATTGTTATATTTACTTTTACCATTAAAAATGTCGAAAACTAACAATTATTTAATAAGGAAAATATACTGCGCGAATCATTTTGCGTAATTAAATTAAATACAATAACGTATATTAGAAATATATCATTCTTTTGAATGATTAATTTTGTTTCATAGAAAAAAATTTATATGAAATTTTGACTTAGTGTAATAAAACATTTTTACATGACATAAATGCAGTTTATAACAGTAAGATGTTATTGGAGTTAATGGCATAACTTATGAGCTTCTACATCTAACGATAATAGTATGTTGTAAAAATAATAACTATTATTGTAAAATTATCATTTCAATAGCTTAGTTACTAATTGATTCGTAAGAAACGTTCTTTGCCCCTTAATTTCTTTCTAGTATGATTTTATTTTAGATATGGCATCTTAAATCTCACGTCGTGTTGATTTTTGAAATCTAAGTATTTTTTTTTCTTTTTTCAAGTTATACATTACATGATCAGTAACAAATATATAGCACATTTATATAATATAGCCTCAAGTATACGCAGGTATGAAAATCTTTTTCTTTCATGAACTCAATGAACTAACAAAGCTAAGATTTGAAATAATTTTTTACCCTAAAATATATTCAAAATATGCGAAATATCAATACTTCCGTAGATTTCTATGTTTATTCTGTTTTGCTTACATCAATCTCTCGTAGCATTCACTGAAAGACAATTACGGATAATAGGTACTTTATATGTATGTTAGATTTTTAACGCACTCATTCTCGTTCTTTGAAATTGTTGCAAAGTCAGATTTGAGTAGAGAAACGAGGACGTGGCAAGTCTCCAAATACTGTATCACCATGAACGCTCTTTGCTAGAGCTTTAATCGAAGCTCGAATATTATGTGGATCATGTGGATCTCTTGAAAGCTGAAATAGCATTTTATATTTTTCAATATAAAAATATTCTATAAAATATGTATATACAAATTTTCATACCAATAAATATCATTAGATTACTGCTAAGTGTACATATTATAAATAGGAAGATTTAAATTTAAAAATAATTGTATGTTTATACCTGGTCATCATCTTGATCTTGAACTGTTCTACGCACAAATGAAGGAAAAGATGGAACACTAACTGGTAACGATTTTGCTAATGTAGGATGTCCACCTCTTTGTCCCCTTGGCATATGAATACCTTCATCTTGACCTGAATCTAAATGCAATGTCAATTACATTACCTAAAATTTTATTTTAAATTAAAATAAATTGAAATATGGACTAACCATCTGTATCAGATCCTTCTTCTGAAGATTGAACTTGATCAGTATTAAGAGACTCTTCCATTCCTTCCAAAGGAAATAAAGCTTCTGTGTCAAAACTGGTTGCATCTTTATTGTATATATATAATTGCTCTTTTTTATCTATGCTACCATTCTAAAAAATGTTAATTGTCATACCATAAATTTAAAATTATTCATGAATATAACTTAATATAATTTATAAGAAGTACATACAACAAGAGGATTAGGAGAATATTTAGCATCAGCTTCATGTTTAACATTAGGACCTGTAATGATTTTCGTTTCGTTTGATACTACTTGTGATGTATTTACTGTATTTGTTGTAGAGGTAGTTAAACTGGTTGTAAAACTATCTGGGGTTGTAGGAGGAGTTTCTATATTATTTGTTAATCTAGTTGTTTCTTCTCCTTTACATATTAACCTGAAATGCATGTGTATATTTAAAACTAAGTATAAAGGTAAAAAATGGAATTTTAATGTAATGAAAAAACACTGTATATTATTAATATGAAACCTTGTTAATAATCTATGTTCATTGTGAGCTCTTTCACAAAACTGTTCCAATAACTGATATTGTTCTGCTGTGAATGCACGAATTTTAGTTTCTATTTCTGCATTCTGTCTTTGGACAGCTTCTTCAAGCTGCTGTTGGAGTCCACCCAAAGCCACTTGTACATTGTTAGGTAACTGCGATACTGGATAGATAAAATAAAATATATAATGAATATTTATATATTTAACAGAATCAAATACATTTCCAAGTTTTTAATGAAATCATATTTGATTAATTAATATATTTAGCAACGGCCAACTCACCAGAAAATTTGGTAGGTTGTTGAAGATAGTCAAATTCATCCAAAGTGTTATGGGCAATTATTATTCTAAATACTGGACTATAATCTGGATTAGATTTTAATTTAATTATTTCTGCAGGTGAAGTCTATAATAAAAAGAAATTGAATTTTTTTATTCCATATAAATATGTTTACATAATCTATTAACCTGTTATCTTCTCATGTAAAATATTATGCAAAATATTTTTATAGCCTGTAACTTTATGAACAATTTCATACTCACAACAATATCAGTATTAATAAGAACTAAAGCAGCACCATAATCTCTGTGTACAGCATGTGTGTACATTGAACAATTGTAACAACGGTGAATAACCCATGATCCCACATTTCTTATCTCTACTAAACCTGGTTGTTCCTTAGTGTTAGTAACTAGACTGCTATAAATATTTAATGAGAATTTATCATATCATTTGCATAAAAAAATATTTTAAAAAATTACTTATTAATCATTGGTATTTTAACGCGAATTCGCATAAAACTTGAAGCTTCGTAAAAAAAATGATTGTAATGAGTGTTATACTAAATATTTCACCTGATGAAAGAAACCATCATTCTGTTCTTCAGGTGTCAATTCAATATCATTGATGTTGACCTTCTGTAGTTCAGTGCCCCTGGATTTTATGGACACGTTTAAACATTTGCATGCGATATACATCTTACACAACCAGTGTACAACGTTTTCTAAAAGAAACTTTAAAAACCAGCACACTGTTTCACAATGCCGGGACTCATATATACGATACGAGAACAGTTCACTCGATATTCTTCGTAATGTTTGAAATATATACCCAGAATTTTTTCTTAGTCACTTTCAATTTTTGAAGTTAGAACCAATCGAAGCTTTCATAAATAATTAGAACGAAACAATAGAAAGTACAAAACAATAGTTTGACTTAAGGAGTAGATTGTTACAACACCGCAAGTTTCGCGCTATTATTAAATTTCAAATATGTTGGTTTTGCTTAATTGAAGAATTCGTGAAAAAGCTTTTACTCTCGAAAAAAACAAGCGTGTTATCTATACATTTGGGTGTGTTGGAACCGTTTATTATCTGATCCGTTCCGCAAGTTGATTTATACACTGTGACAGATTCACACACTCAAAGCCAAGTAAACGAATTATCGAAGCTCGTGGCTCTGGCGAATATATTTGCGTCTGAGAGTTCGTTCTCACCATATAAAGAGGTAGTTTTGAATATCAATATCGGAAATTTTTATATAAATAATATAGAATGATTCTTCACATTTGAATTAAGCAGTTATTGTCTACATTTCTTGGCTATAACACACGTATTTACAAGTATTTTTGAAAATCTTCGGAGTCTCTACTAAAAATAAACACTGATTTATAGGTGCGTGCAGATGCGTACGTGATCACCCCAGACAAAAACATACTTGCCTAGTCAATTGACCGACTTTACCATATGACATAGGATTTTAGCAATGTGTTGGATAAGACCAGCATATACGTATACACAAATACGGATGCAAGGTTATTTGAAATTACCTATGCAATATATAAATTTTATTTTTTTTCTGAAGAATTTATATTTTGTTTTATAATCGTGAATTGTACCAAGAAAATATTCATTTATTCATTAAATGATATTATGAAATGCTAATAAGACATCTTTTGACTGAAACGAATAACTAATTTTAATAGGTACATTCAAGACTTAAAGCAATTTCGAGCTCTATTCTCCATTTTTACTTCTAAATGTAGCAAAGGTAATAAAACAAGGCAACGTAAGCAAACAATCCATAAACAGCAAGGATGTAAATGGGGATATTAAATAATGCATAAAAATATATTCGTATATATAAATGAAACGTAAACAGTCTGACATTTTATTTTCAACAACATTATATTTTGAAGATAGCAGTTTTTACATATATTACTTTACAGAAGTGTGTATAATACTTTTTTACTCCATATAATACTGTCTAAATGTAACATTTTGTTGATATAAATTTATAACAGATCTATATACATAATTCTGATTATAAAATATTCAACTTTTATATAACAAAACAAAAAAACAACGTTATAATGCATCTACTGGAATGTTACTTACAAAATATAACAAAACGATAAAAACAAAATTGTTAGTTGGAATGCTAGTTTCATAACACATAACAATATAAATATAACAAATAATTGTTAGTTTTACATTTTCATATTAAGATATTCTTCTTTCCGCTCGAAATATTCATTAAATCGTATTGCAGCATACCTATAAAGCATTGTACAGCAAGATAAATATAATTTTACAGAATCAACGTGATAGAATAATAATTTAAAAATATAAATTATTACAAAAAATTTCAATAAAAGTTACAGTGTTCCTTTCATGTTTTGTATATTAGTGTACTTACTCTAAAAAGTCAAAGTCAATTGTTGAATGTTCACTTTGTATAAGTCCCCAACAACCCCAAAAAAAGTGTGATAAAAGAACAAATTTATTTACTTGCAAGTACAGTAAATTAATTTCATTTTCAGGTACATAGTTTATATTATTATATTCCTGAAGGTATATGTTCAACCATGCTTTTTGCAGTTGCTCTTCAGGATACAAGGAATAATCAGGATTATCAATACCTAGAATAAATGATGTATAATTATAACTTAAAAATTGTATATGTAATTATAACTTAATAAATTGCATTTATATTACATATAGTACTTCATATTCTTTAAAATAAAAGTATAAAATCCAAAAACTATTCATAATGCAAATTGTAATATGCAAATGTCACTTATAAAGTGATACTTAAATATATATTTAAATTACCAGCAAATTCCGCAAAATGATTAGCTATATCAAAAGCCTGATAATTATATGCAGTATATTCAAAATCAATAAATGTAACAGAATTTTCCTTTTGATTGTAAAGCACATTTCCTAGAAGTAAATCATTATGAGCAAATACTACTTCATTATTTAAACTTGTCAGTTCCTCCTTTAATAATTCGTAATTCTGTTTTAACACAATAAATGGTTTTATGAGTTTTTCAAACCTAAAAGTAGAAAGTAGAAATAACTAATAATGCATACATCTGAAATGAAAAATAATATTTTATATTTTAATATGCTACCTCGCTTGTTTGGCACCATTAGAAAATTCTTTTGGCATAATTTCCATAAATTTCTCTAACTTGTTCCAAATACAAGCTTCTTTGGGTATTTCATCATCATGAGGCTTAAGATTATGCATTTGAGCCATTCTCTTAGCAATTAAAGTATATACATTAGGATCTCTGACTGTTTCTGTTGTAAGTGTATCACCTTCAATAAATTGGTAAGCCAGGCCATTATTGAATGTAGCATAAATGGAATGTGTAAAACCAAATTTATTTAGTATCTGTTTAAAAAAGCAATGTACTCTTGATTATATATCTTTTTGTATATTTATCCTTCAGTCTTTGTTGCTGGTACAATAATATATTTATTATGATTAAACTTACTCGAATATTTCTTGTTTCATCTTTTCGATTAATAAGCAAATCTGTCTTATGTCCATAAACTCTAACCAAGACCATATCATTGTAATGCTCAGAATACCACACTCCTATCAGTTTATTTGTGATTCCATCAGTAAATATCTGAAATAAAGTTCAATATAATAGTAATATGCCAATATGTTTTTTGTTATTGCAACTTTTTTGAGTTAATACTTTTAAAAAATATAATACGTAAAATTATTATTTTTAATGGCCAGTACTCAATAATATTTATAAAAGATTGAATAGTTTTACTTTATTACTGAAAAAAATCATACATATGCTGAATACAGATTTAATTATAGTTATCAGGTTTCAAAGAAAATATTACTGTTTAAGAATGGAAATATTTAATAATAGTGCTATATCTCCTGTGCTAAATGAAGAACTCAAGACAAATAAACTTCTTATCAATAGATAAACTCAAATATTAGATAGGGAATACAATGACCTTAATTTTTTTCTTATTTACTGTACTAGTAAAAATTTCATTTTAACAATTTTAAGTTTGTGTTACATCAAAAATTGTGAAATTTAAATGTATAAAATTGTAACAAATATTAATACTTACAGTAAATATTTAAATACAACTTGTATTTCATTTAAAAATTTACAGGAAACATGTTTTTGAAGCTATAATAAATTGAAAAAATGAATACATAATATCAAATCTCTATAGAAACTACATGCATGCGTGAAAAGACTATATAACTTTATATACTTTATATACTTTATATAATGTTTTATAAAATGGTTTACCTTAAAATTCAGCATATCCAAAGGCCATGTTGGTCTAATTTTTTTAATTATCTCTTTGGCACCATCAACAATTTCATTTTCATCAATTGTTATATCAAGATGAGGTTCTTCACAAATTTGGTCCATAGTTAAATATTACCTGCAATAAATAATTAAATTTTTATAACATTTATAAGAATGCCACTTTATGTATATATTAGTTTTTAATTATTGAAAATTTATATCATAATACATCATTTAGATTGGACAAATATGTGGAAACTTATAAGTTAAACATGCATAATATATTAATATTTATACCTTTAATGTATCAAAACATTGAAATATATTAGATATGTGTGTCACTTGTAAATCAAGTTACTCTACAGAGTTGTTCCACTACAACTGGAATACTGATACATATTTTTGCACCCTATGCAATGATAATGATCAACATAGCTAACAAGAGTAGGCTAGGGTAATGCAAAGACCTTGAATTCATTAATAATTTCATTACGTATAAGGAAATGATTCATTGTGTACTGAATGTATTAAGTAGCTCCATACTCCATACAGCTCTATGAAGAAATAAAAGTTTTTAGAATACTATTTTACAAACATTATTCAATGAATGTGTTGTCAAATTTGATGATAACAAAATTATTGCACAATTTCGTTTATTTATGCACACCTCAATATAAAAAAATTTAATTTCACATTTTCAAAATAAATTTCAATAATTGTTATATAAACTTATAATTTTTGTAAAAACAATAACATTTTGATTATTAAAAATTATCAGCCGAAAATGAAAAGATTGCAACATATTATTTGATACTTCATATTTGATAATTTTGTTACAGCTACTACTTTACAAAGAATTATCAATATGTATGTTTACTATAACTGAAAACACATAAAAAAATTTAATTCTTATTTAACTTTTTCATCATGTGTTAAAGCATATCAAGACGATACGCCACTGTTACATCAACAATAGTATAGGGAATGTTACTATGAAATGGTTATGAAACTGTAAAGAACAAGTACCGGTCAATTTAACTTCTTATAAATAAAATATAAATACGAAACATAAAGTTTAACGATATAATGATATTTACTTTATTAAATATAAACATGAAATATCTGTTGATATATTTTATATATTATATTTCATGTATGAGCACTTCGAATCATCTCTTTTTAAATATAGAGAATTTTTTTTTTTGTCCCGCTAACTTCACATCAAACAACGTTTGTAATTATTGTGTGGCGCTCAGATGTGGAATATATAATGGTTTTTGTTAAATACATAAAATTACAAATATAGAACATCATTTTAGATGATTCGAACATTGTAAATAAAACAAAAGCTTTTATAATACTTATTTTGAAACAGCTCCTTTAGTGTTTAATTTATTATTTTAAATACGCACAGAATGTACGTTTTCATATAAAATTGATAATAATATTTTGTTGTGTTTTGAGAAAATACAAAGTTGCAAACGATCACTCGTTACTTGTCTTTACTGTATGTTATGGTTTTCGTCAACATCATGCTTTATATATATCCGTAAACAATATTACAATACAAGAATATAATCAATTTTTTATTTATTATACAATTGTTATGTATTTCCAACACTAAAACATTTTAATAATTGCTAAAATTTCAAAAAAATGTCAAAAAAAATTCCACCGAATCAAAATGAAATACAACCTACATTTAAAGGGTTTCTTGAGCGTATGAAATGTAAACGTAATCTACAATCAAGGTATGAAAAAAAATTTTTACACAATCTACTAAAAAATATTATATTAAATAGAACCATCTGGTTTATTTTAAATGCATTAATACTTGTTAAATCTACTTTGTTGAATGTAAAATAGAATAATATATTTTTGCAGCACGCCTAAATCAAAAACAAATTTGCAACTGAATGAAAGTTTGGCTGCATTTAAGGACTATGGATCTTATAATATAAAAAAGTTGGAAATGAATTCTAAAACATCAAATATATCTCTTGTAAGGACATTGTTTGCTATATATAAAATATGGAATTTTATAATTCAATATAGCTTTTTCATATTATAATCGTGCTTTTTAGGACAGTTCTGATGATTTAGTGTTGAATAATGTTGAAAATATTGCAAATACAAATGATAACTGTTTTAAGGAAAATCATGCTAAAGATTTTAAGGAAGAAAAAGCAATACAAAATGACACATACAAGCAAAATATTTCTAAATTTAACAACATACAAAAACCAAAACCTAAATTTAGTCAATCATCAGATAGTGAAGATGATATAGCAATAAAACCAAGTTTAAGATTATATAGAAGAAAAAGAAGAATTATGAACACCAGCAATGAAGAATCAGTATCAAACAACAGTTCCCCATCTATGAAAGAATATGAATGCATACCTACATCTCCACACATGCCACCTGAAAGCAACAGTGTTTTGAAGACAGAGATGGAAGAGAAAAAATTAATTGACAGAGATGGTATACAAACTCCAGAAAAAAATATAAAAGTTGAAAGAGAAGAAAATGTTATAATATTAGATTCAGATAGTGGCAGTCCAAACTTTAAGCACAGTCTAAAGCAATCCCCTAAAAAAGAATGGGTAGGACCAGATTTCAAATTAAATTTAAAGCCTCTAGGTTTAGGAAAAGAGTTAGACCCATGGATAGAATCTGCAAAAAGAAAACCAATAATGTCTTCAGTACCTGTAAATATTAATATTTTCAACCGACATGTTTCTTACTACTAATAAATTATTAAAATAATTATTTTGAATTTTTTTAGGTCACAAAACATAAGTTAGAAGACAGATACAAAGAGTTAAGAGAATTTCAAATGGAAATTCTTGAAAAATATATGACTGCATTAGATCAAATGCCACTGCCAGTATTAGAAAAATTTCCGCAGTTTGATGCACGTACATTTCGAAATTCAAAAATTTTATATCAACATGTTAAAGCAAAAATACGTTTGGTTGAGACGAAATTAGCACATATAAAAGTTGACGAAAATGAAAAATTTGCTGATGAAAAATTATGTGAAATTGCAGATAATCATACAAATAGTTCACCGTTAATCAAAACATTAAACTCTATAAATCAGCAATCAATTATTAGTATTTCAGATAGTGATAGTTTCAATGTATCTAATACTAATTTAATGAATGCAGAATCAAATTATACTAATTCGATAAAAATACAAGCTACAGCTCCATCAATGACTGAAGATTTTTCGGAATTATTACAGACAAGAAATGAATCACAAACAAAGGAATACAAAAATAACATTGATTTACAGAGTTCTCCTATTCAAGTTAAATCAAATAATTCTGTAGTTCAAGGGAAAAAAGGAATATTTCAATTAAAAAGGCCCATTAAAGCAACTCTGGGCTCTGAAGTTTCTAAAAAAATAGGAGAAATATGGAACAAGGAAGTACAACCTCGAACTGTTAATGTTAAAATTACTGTTCCCAATTGTGACACAAATACAGATTTTGATAATATGTGCAGAACAGAAAAATCTAATACTAATGAAAACTTCTGCCTTGAACAGAAAAGAACAGATGTTAAAATTCCTGAAAAATTAAAAAATGAACATAAACAAAATAATTGGAATATAATGACTCCCCCAGATATAGATGGTAAAATTTATACTTCAAATTTATATTTATTAATTAATGAATCATTCAAGTACATCACTATTTACTTATTGTAGATAATACTTCATATTCTCAAGAAATAATTGATTGTTTAACTCAAGAATTTGAACAGTTTCCTGCATTAAGTAAAGATTGTAATGTAAAATCAAATTTAAATGTATCAGGTAAATTTTTATTAGGAACTCATCTTTCATTTATTCACATTTTACTATTGTATGCTTTTAATTTAAATTGTTTGGTTTTGAAGCAACCGTTTCACAAACTGTTAATAATAACGAAAATGACAAAGCACAAAATACAGCTAAAACAACTTTAGGAACTGGCAATTTTACTGGAAATTATAAGAATGATGGTGTCAGTGGTGAATTCGATGGATTAACATATCCGCATTCACGAGAAATGTTAAAGGTAAAATATTTTATTTTTGAATATTATTTTAGAAAAATATATGTATTTTACCATGAAATGTTTAACGTAATATATTCTAATTTATAAGGTTTTTCGTCAAAAATTTGGATTATATTCCTTTAGACCAAATCAATTGCAAGCAATTAATGCTGCAATTTTGGGGTTTGACTGTTTTGTTTTAATGCCAACTGGAGGAGGGAAGTCATTATGTTACCAACTTCCAGCACTCTTGTTACCTGGAGTAACAGTTGTTATTTCACCATTAAAAAGTCTTATTCTTGATCAAGTTCAAAAACTCACTTCTCTTGATGTAGGTTTTTCAAATATTATATTTTACATGTTTATACATTATTACTTAAATATAATTTATCAATAAGTTTTGTATAGATTCCAGCAGCTCATATGACTGGATTGATATCAGAAAGTCAGGCAGATGCAATATATAGAGAACTCTCAAAAAGAGAACCAGCTCTTAAATTATTATATGTAACACCAGAAAAAATATCTGCATCTCAGAAATTTTGTAGTTATTTAACTACATTGTATGAAAGAGGATTATTAGCAAGATTTGTTGTTGATGAAGCACATTGTGTTAGCCAGTGGGGACATGATTTTCGACCTGATTATAAAAAATTGAAGTGTCTCCGGGACAATTATCCTCAAGTACCAGTTATTGCGTTAACAGCAACAGCTACACCAAGAGTCAGAACTGACATATTACATCAGTTAGGCCTTGCCAAACCTAAGTGGTATCTAATTTAATTTTAAATATATTTAATTCAATCTTCTATGGTAACAACCCTTTTTTCATTTTATTTTATTTCAGGTTCATGTCAGGCTTCAATAGACCTAACTTAAGGTATAGCATAATTGCAAAGAAAGGGAAAAATTGTTCGGATGAAGTTATAGGTTTGATAAAAACGAAGTACAAGAACGACTGCGGTATTGTTTACTGTTTATCTCGCAAAGATTGTGACGATTATGCAATGCAAATGAAAAAGAATGGAATCAGAGCATTAAGTTATCATGCTGGACATGCAGATAGTAATAGAAGTGATATTCAGGGTCGATGGATTTCAGATGAAGTATGAAATTATAAATTAAGCAATTGTAACATTCATTCGCAAATATATAATTATATAACATCAAATTTTAGGTTAAAGTTATTTGTGCAACAATAGCATTTGGAATGGGTATTGATAAACCAAATGTACGATTTGTAATACACGCAGCTCTTCCACAATCTATTGAAAGTTATTATCAAGAAAGTGGACGCGCTGGTCGTGATGGAGAAAATGCAGATTGTATTTTATTTTATAATTACGCTGATATGTATAGGATAAGAAAAATGTTAGAACTAGACAATTCAAACCCTGCTATATTAAAAACACGTTTGGACAATTTATTTCAAATGGTATCATTTTGTGAAAATAAAACGGATTGTCGCAGGGCACAACAACTTAATTATTTTGGAGAAATATTTAATCGACAACAATGCGTTATCAATAAAGCAACATCGTGTGATAATTGTAGAAGTAAAGTAAGTAGGCTTATTAAAACAACAAACCTTTGTAAGTAAAACTTTTTAAATATTTTTAAAAATTATATGAAAATTTTCAGGATGATTTTACTATGCTAGATGCAACCGAAGATGCAAAACAAATAATGAAAGCTGTATGTGATATTAATCAATCAAAAAATTGTAATCTTACATTAGTGTTTCTTATAGATATATTTAAAGGAAGTGATCTGAAGAAAATAAGAGATTCAGGTATAAAATCAAAGTTAAATAAAATATTATTCCCTTATATAATACATTTATCAATTATTTTATTAGGTCTTACTAAGCATCCTCTATATGGTCGCGGAAGATCGTGGAATAAAAGCGATATACAACGTTTACTACATTATATGGTACTTAAAGAATATTTGTTAGAACAAATGTACATAAATAACGAAATTGCTTGTGCTTATCTAAAAATTGGTTCAAATGCAAGTGAACTAATGACGAGGAAAGATGTAAAGGTAGAAATAATAAATGAATAGACAATTTATTTTGTGTATTAAAAATACAACATACGAATAAATTATTAAAATATAATAATCTTTCCAAAATAGGTGATGATTCCTATGAGATCATTTACTAATAGTGTTACTGCAGTAGCAACATCATCTCCAGTTACGAAAAAAGTTGATAAATCTCTTTTGGAACTACAAGAACGTTGTTATAAGGAATTAATGGAAATAATAAAAGGAATTGCTGGAGCACTCGACATTTCAGCATCTTCAGTTATGAATATGATCGCGATTAGAGCAATGAGTCAACAACTTCCAGATAGTGAAGAAGCTATGTTACAAATTCCACATGTAACCAAAGCAAATTTCGACAAATATGGAAAAGCATTGTTAGATATTACACAAAAATATGCTGCGGAAAAATATGGTAGAGTTAATATCTTTGAATATTATTTTTGATATTACAATTATTATTTAGGGGAATAATTATTATTGTTATAGTATTAATAAGTGAAGAAAAAGAGAAAAGTAATGACGAAGACTATAGTGGCAATGCATGGAATATCGAAAATTCTACTCAACCTAGTAAATCTAAATACGGTGGTACAAAGCGTAAACGTTACGGTAATTCCCGAAATACGAATAAAAAATTTAAACGAACAACATCCAGGTATGATATGTTTATACATTTGAATATTTTTAATGTCATTCATATTACTTTTTAATAATTTCTACCATATTAATTAGTACACAGAAAGGAAAAGCAGCGACAAAAGGAAAAGCTATAACAAACAAAGGTCCTGGACTTATGAGTATGACTCGCAAATAATAATATACGTCGGATCCACATAGATACATGTAGATCAATTATTTTCTCTGTATTATATATATGTATATGTATGTAGAATTGCCAATAGGAGATAACTATCTGTATGTGTTACTCACATGAGTCAACATAAAATGATAGACAGTCTAAATATCTTTCTCAAACAGGTAATGATAATCGTTGCTTGTTACACCAGATCCTTGGATACGAATTTCGGTGATAGATAAAACCTCTAAACAACCTCAATAATGTCCCACAGGTTTGGCAATCCGAACCCTGTAAAATTGAACCCTGAATACCAACTTTGAATTCCTACCAACTGGAAGACTTCGGGCCCTCGTACTGCATATACATATATATATGGTATATCTATTTGTAAGAGTGAGATGTCCTATGTAACTTGGAATACAATGTATCCGTATTAATGCGAAGTCGGCATTTTCGCCATTTTATGTCAAAGTAAAGCAACATTATTATGTTTTTGTAAAAAATCTCTAAAAAGTATGTATTTGTAAGAAATTTCTAAAATGTATGTATATATGCAAAATTTTGTAATAAATTATTTTATTTTTAATAATTTTTGAA